GAAAATTCATATTAAAAAGTACATTGGAATTTTTCACGAGTAATAATCAGCACCATCATTTTTTGAGTGCTTACTCTATGTTATAATTACGATAATATAATAGCATTAATAACTAACACTTATATGCCATTTATTATATGCCAGCCATTGTTGTTCATGCTTTTACATGTATTATTTAATCCTCACAGTAAACTTATGAGGTAGAAACTTAATTGTCTTCATTTTACAGATATGGAAGGTGAAGTTAAATAGCTTGCCCAAGGCTACAGTGCTAGTAAGTGCCAGAGCTGGGATTAGAACCTACATGGTGGTGTTCCAGAGTCTGTAGTTTGCTCACGATACTTCACTGACTCTCTAGCAAAGATAAAAATGAATAAATGAATAAAGGAATGTGGCTTCACCAAAGCAGAATGAAAACACAGACTTCAGGTCTGGAAAACCTGGGTCCTTATGTTTCCCTTCAAAAGCAACTTGAAAAGGTACAGTGCTTACTGTGTTGCTAGCTACTCCCCAATAACACCCACACTCACACCCATGCCAACGTGGAACATCTGAAGACAGTCCAATTTCCTAAAGTATCACCTGCACAGACACTTTATTTACTCCAGTTATCTGCAGAGTGAGCTGAAAGCTCCCATATTAGCAGCTCCTGACCTAAAACATTAATTTAAAAGGGGGAAAAAAAGGAAAGTGACAATTTCCAAACACAGCATTTACATCAGAATTCCCAAGCCCTTCATGCTCAAATTGTTTTCACGAGTGTAAGCTAAGGACATCAGAAAAGTATTATCCACCCTCTCCCAGCTGACAAAACAAAAGGTTAAGTGTCAGAACTGGCAGCCAAGTCTCTGAAACAGGGAACACTGTACCTAAGAGGTGGAATAACACAGTGGCTAAATGAAGTCTGTCTGCATCAAACAGACCTAGTTTAGCCACTTGCTGTTTTCCCGTATGCAAAATATGACTAACAGAAATATTTGTCCCATAGGGCTGTTGCGACTGTGAATAGGTCACAGTATGGAAGGTAAACATTCCATATGTGTCAGTGCCAAATTTGCATCTGAGACTTGACAAAGCCATCCATTTCTGTTTCAGGCAGGAGAGCACATGAACCGCCCCCACTGAAAACTTTCTCATTCCTTCTTTAAAGTTTTCAAAGGAGTTTCTGCATTCTGAGCAGGAGTGGTATATTGTTGAGAACAGAAGCTCTGGAATTCGTATCTCAGCTGGTCCACTTACTAGCTATGTGACTCCTGTGTCCCATTTTAGGTTCTTCATCTGTGAAATGGGGATAATGATGAAAAAATATTATCTATGCTGTAAGAAAAAAATGGATTTACACATGGATAGATGACTACGTGGAGAGAGACATGATAGGACAAGGATAGTCAGACATCAATGGTAGACCTGGGAGGTAGACATAAGGGGGTCCACTGCGAAATTCTTTCAACTTTGCTATGTGTTTAATAACTACTGTAATAAAATATTGAAAATATAATATCTTAATGAATGAAAATATTTATTTAATAAAATGTCAACTTCACAAGGAAAAAAATATATTATCTATCTTAGAGGGTTATTATGAGGATTAAACCAGTCAATACAAGAAAAATGCACAGAACGGTTCCTGGAATACAGCAAATATACAGTAAATGTTAATCATTACACTCCTCCCCACAGGTGATACATATTCCAAATTTTTAGCACACGGGAAACAACAAAATTATTTTAGAACTCTAGGATGTTAGAGCTGGAAGGACTCTTAGGAATCATTTCTAGTTCCAGGTCTCTCATGTAATAAATGATCCCCAGGGAAGAGGAGAGCTGGCTATAGAGTCTGACCAGGATTAAAATTCAGGCCTCCTGATTTCTATCCAGTGCTCACACCACACCACTGTACTTCCTCTTCTTAATGAAAACACTAGGGTCATTCCGTCTCTCCTCTCTGCAAACCACCAGGCCATCTTCTGGAAAGAGTCAAAACTACTTAAACATCTGGGAAGAAATCTTACTCATCACTGCTCCAGGTAGCACTTTTTTGGGAGGTGGGTGGTGAACTGTAATCTATTTTCCAAGAAACCACACTCACAAGATACAAAAAAATAAAAACAAACAAACAAAAACAGTTTGAAATATTATTAACTCCTTTCAGGAACAATTCAATATTCTTCTTTGGGAGGATATAATAATAAATATTAAATAAACACTTTTCTAAGTTTGTGACACATATTAAATACTTTTTGTTTTTTTGTTTAATCCTCACAACACAGCCCCCCCCCACCAAGGTTGCCCTTCTATATGCTCCTAAGTTACCTGCTATTTCCCTGCTTACAGTACATATCACAGTATCATGTAATTGCCTGCTTACTTGTCCTGACAGTCTTCAGACTGTGAGCTGAAAAAGACAGGAATCTCAACGATCATGTGTACCATTCATTTTTTCTTTCAACAAATATTCCTGGGCACGAATAATAAGACAGAAATGGTCCTACCTTACTGGGGCAGTCTGTACTTTCCAAAGATGGCTGCAACAATATCTCCCATTCCACATGCTCTTTTTTTTTTTTTTTTTGCGGTATGCGGGCCTCTCACTGTTGTGGCCTCTCCCGTTGCGGAGCACAGGCTCCGGATGCGCAGGCTCAGTGGCCATGGCTCACGGGCGCAGCCGCTCCGCGGCATGTGGGATCGTCCCAGACCGGGGCACGAACCCGTGTCCCCTGCATCGGCAGGCGGACTCTCAACCACTGCGCCACCAGGGAAGCCCCCACATGCTCTTTTTACAATGGGACCTCAACATTCCTCCCATGGGAGATGGAGGGGGTGTGCTTAATTTCCCTTGCCCTTGAACATGCCCACAGAGTACAGTGGAAGTGATGCTATTTGACTTGTACAGCTAGATGATAAAAATCCCATGCATTTTCACCTTGTTCTCTTAGGGCACTCACTCGTGGAATCTAGCTGTCATATGGTGAGGAGGCCCACACTAGCCCATGAAGACAGACCACACGTAGAAGTAACCAGCTCAGCTGAGGCCCCAGACTTGGATCCAAGACATATACCTTCCCCACTGTGCCTTGTTTGAATTCCTAGCCCACAGAATCGTGAGCATAATAAAATGATTTATTTACACCACTGAATTTGGGGGTGGTTTATAATGCAGCAATGGTAACTGGAACAACCACACAGAGCTTAATGTCTAACAAGGAATACTGAATACATGACTCCAAGGTATTGCCTACACCTAACACAGTATACTGGAACAGGGTAAATTATTTGTTGCGTGTCTGAGGTAGTTATTATTCTGCCCCTTTTGCAGATGAGGAACTGAGCTTTGAGAAGTTTAGCAACCTGCCCTTGGCCTCTCAGCTGGTTAGTGGCAGAATAAATTAAAACTCAAATCTAAACACACACTCCTAACACTATACTCTTCTGTCTCCTTCAGTACAATTTTACACTAAATATACAATAATCTGCTTTAAAATGGGACTGTCAGTACTTAAAACATTCTGGCTCAACAGAATTCACTGTGCAGTTTCATCGTTGAGATGGAAACCCACATGTCACCTTCTCAGAGAAGTCTCCCCTGACCTTCCTAGCTCAAGTAATGCCAGCTCCCTCATCCTTCCCCAGCCTTTCTACTCCATCAGTTCCATTTTCTTCCTAGAACTCATCCCTAGCTGAAATTATCTTGCCTATTAATTTGTTCATGTATCTACTCTCTGTCTCTCTGAATTGAATATAAGTTTTGTGAGAGCGGAACCTTGTCTGTCCTATCCATTGATATATCCCTAGTGCCTAGGACCATGCCTGTAATACGGCTGGTGATCAAAAATTATTTACTGAATGAAGGACTGACTGCATTCAGGCACACTGAACGTCCACCCAATCTCATCACCCACCAATAAATGTGCAAATAGGGAGGATAAAACACAATTAACAACAGCAGGATTGCAGCAGAGACATTCCATACAGCAATGTCACTACAAAAAAAAAAAAAAAGGAAAGGGAGGGGAATGCATGCTACCACACAACCACTTAGAAAAAGCATAAAACCCTGAGTTCCAATAAAGATGTAGGTAATGGGATGGATGGAGTAGGGGGTCACACCTCTTATTCTCCATTCATAACCACTGCCCCCTCACTCTTCAGAAAAACTCAGTTTCTTCAGACACACCTACTGAACCACACCAAGGAACCAAGAACAACTGTTGGTGACCTTCTACTGTTCGCCAAAGTTCCCTGGTTGTTTTGAGGGAAAAAGCTCTTGTATGATTGAGCTGCAAGCTGAGCTTCCCACCAAATAACTATGGTTATTCCAACCAGGGTGTTGGGCAGACATTTTCCCCAAAATGAACTGAGCCTTTTATATGTGTGTATATATATATATATATATATATATATATATATATGCTGCATTGGGTCTTCGTTGCTGTGTGCGGGCTTTCTCTAGTTGCGGCGAGCGGGGGGGCTACTCTTCGTTGCGGTTTCTAACATCACACCTTTGACCCTTCATCTGGCCCTTCCTTTTGTGCCAGTCACCCCTCCCTAGGATATAGGTGCTGTTCGCTCCAAGGTAAGGAAGCAGTAACCTAGCTCTTAAAAGAAGAGGTGAGGAGGGGACTCTTAGACCCAGGGCAAGGGTCTAAATATACAGATCCCCAAAGGTCCTATTTCTCCCAGGAGGGAAGGTAACGGTGCCTGGGGGCCTACCAAGTGCTAGACACTATGCTGGTCTCTTAAACATGCTTTTCCTAACATAAGGGAAATTCCTTACCCCAACCCAAGAATTCAGGGAGGCCTCAAGTAAAACTTCCCCATCTCAACATTCCCCAGACCCGCTACTCCTCACCCCAAATTCCAGGAGCAGTTCGAGAGGATAAAAAGAAATCTAGCGTGGCCACAGAGATAAAATGAGAAAGGGATCATGTTAGAACAAGAAGAGGGTTGTCCCGGGCTGGGGCCCAGGATAAGTAAAGATTAAGATAAGAACACGGTCTGACCCTTTCCAAGCCCATTATGTCCATCAGAAGAGGTGACGAGGAGCAGGAAACTGAAGCCCAGCAAACAGGTGGCTCCGAGACGAGGCCGCAGCTCCATGATGGTAGGTGCGCGGAGCCACGGGGCTGAGCAGACGTAGGGCCCGAGTCCTAGCAGAAAGTCCGCGCGGTTTCCCAAGTGCTGCTCAGCCCATCCGCTCCTGTTCCCAGATTTTTTTTTTTTTTTTTTTTTTCTAACCTTGAAGGAAGTGATGTTAGACGGATGTGGGTGGTGCCTCCGGGGTCCGGTTTGGGACGGAGTGAGAGTTTAAAGGTGCAGATCACGAAGAAGGCTGCGGGGGCTGCTTTTGAGCGCTAGTTGCTTCCCCAGGTTCCGGACTTTCAGTCCGAGTACCGAGAGAAAAGATGGGCCGAGATAGTAGGGGGTGGGGAGGAGGCTCGGGAGAACCGTTGCTGGTTGCATCCGTTGCTTGCGTCCGCCTGCGGGCTAGCCCCTCCCCCAAAAAACCGCTCACTTAATATTCACTACGCAAATTATTGATCTGTGAAGTCAGCAGCACCCAACAGTGGGCGGGGTGCCCATTGGCTTCGGGTCCCCCCCTCCCCCTTCGCAAATAAAAAAAAAGCAGACAACCGGATTTCATTCTCAGGTTCCTGCTCGAGTCTCGAAGAGACCTGGCGAGTCTGTTCTGCGGTGCATGGTCTCGTGCCTGCAAGCATGCCCCTTCCTGCTGGAGAAGAAGCACTGCACCTTATTTTTCCTTGTAACCCAAATTCTTCCACTCAGGGATGATGCAATCAACTGATGGAAGCTCTGAGAAAACCAAACTTGGAACCTCTCATTGCAAAATTGACCTAGCTCTTCAGGGCACCAAGACATAAGTTACTGCAGGCACTTAAAGTGTAAAGCTTCTTCTGGTTAAATCTATTTGTTTTTGTTGTTTTTAAAATTCGTGGGTTAAGTATTTCTCAGTTTTCCTCTCTGATGCATAACAAACAGGTCAAAATTTCCCGTGTCTCCTGAGTGGAGACTAGTTGAGTCTGCACACTCGTGAGTCCGCACTAGTTAAGTTCGACAGTGCGTACTTAATTCCTAGTGAAAGACATCCGGCGAAAGTAGACACCCAAACAAAAATACACACAGCCCTTTTATTAGGCTCTCTACAAACTGCAGGCACGGACACAATGGAACACCAGGCAGACTGCAAGCTCCGGGATGCAGCGCGGCCCCCTGCACCTGCCGCTTTTCTATTGGGACGCGCAGAGCAGCCTGGGCTTTGTAGTTCGTATATGGGCTCCCGGGATAGGTTGCTCTGGTGAGAGAGAGGCGGGGACGGATGTGTCACGTGGGACCGACTCCCGCCGCCGCGGCCGCCTTCGTCTTTCTCTGTCTCGACTGAGGTAGCCATCTTGCTCTTGCCGCGTGCTGGTGTTGGAGGACCCTCCTTGCTTCAGGTGAGACCCCCGGCGGTCCCGCCACTCCACGGCCTTAGGCCGCTGCGCACGATCTCCCCCCGCCCTTTTCTGCCGACACCCGCCAACTGCTGGGGCTGCCACTTCCGCTGTGGCGCGCCGAGTGGGGGCGGAGGCGGCTGGCTTGGCCTCTCGGTTACCGGCGGCGCAGCTGGGGGTCGGCACCTGAGGGAAGGTCCCCAGCACCACCGCTTTCTGTGGGCGAGCGGGCCTGCGCTGTTGCCGCCCAGATCCAGTCCCAGGAGGCAGGTGGTCCCCCGCCTCTGTCCTGTTATTCTTCATTATTCACAACAATAATGCTGTGAGCTTTATACAGCCTATCTGCTGTCATCTCGTTTGATCCTCCCACTAGACAGATAGAGAAACTGAGGCTAGCAGCCCCCGCCCCCGAGCGCTGGAGACCGAATTCCGTTGCAGCGCTCTTCACCTCGTAATGGCAGTGTTTGTTTAAAGTCTGCCACCCTCTCTGAGACATTGCTTTGCCCATTTTTATAGCCCTATCACACTGCCTGGTGCATAGTAGGCTGTCAGGAAGTTGATGATTGACCGACGGGCAGTGTTACACAGCTCGTGAATGGAGGTTTCAACTTCCGTTCCCACGTTCTTTCACTTTACCAGATCTGTCCCTTAGGGAATGGTAACAATAGTTACCAGTTTCTGAGTATCTGCTGTGAGCCATACCCTGTGCTTGATACCTTAATCTTTAACTCTTAAAACAACTCTGTGAAGTATGTGGTGTTACACTGTTTCTAATACGGAAGGGCTAGAAGTTCAGAGAAGTAAAATACCGTTCTGAAGCCCTAAGTGGTGGAAACTTGATCTTTCTGATTCCAAAGCCTGTGCCTCTCTTATTAGATAGAGTAACCCACAAAATAAAAAGTCAGGATTAAAGATTGAAATTATTTTATCTCTTTGTGAACATGGTGTATGTGAAAGTGCCCACCATAATGCTTGGACCTTAGGCACTCAATAAATGTTGATTATAACCTCATTATTTGCATCTTTTCGTGATTCCTTGAGGAAAGGGCTAAAAGATCCTAGGATCCCCAAGGAAGAACTCACTAATCATATGGCCTTAGGAAGTTACTTCTTCCTTTTGGGCCTAGGAAGTGACTTCTCCCTTCTGGGCCCTCATTTCCAAATCTATTAAATTGGGAGGGAGGTGAACTTTTATTTATTTATAATTTATACCCTGCTGCTGCTTGCAAGTATTTGAGATGGCCACATGTACAAGACAGAAATAATGCGTACAATAAAATGAAGGTTGATTGAGGAATAGGGAGTTAAAGCAGGTGATCTTTGAGGTCCATTCCAAATTCTGAGCTTGAAATCTCTTCTCTCATAGACTGAGTCCAATCTAATTTCCTACTTGAATTCCATGCACCCCAACCTGCTAGTAGACAAAGGACCACTCTTCTTCCTCCCCTACCAACCTTGAGCTTCCAACCTCCCTAAAATGCTTTTTCTCTGAGGTACTCCTTGGGAACAAGTTTTCTGTTATACTGATTATCTGGAATGGACTCTGTTCTTTCTTGTCTACACATTGATATAAAGAGTTAATTTTGTCCTTGCTTTGTTTCAAACAAGTCAGGACTCTATTTTGGCTTCCACCTCTTCTCTTGGGGATTGTTACTTCAAAATGCCGAAGAGTCCCAAAAGGTTTACCCTGTGTCTGGTTCTAATATTTTCACTTATCCCCTTTTTTTTGTAAAAAATTCCTTAGGCTCTTTGTTAGTTCACTACACCTTCGTGGCCACATTCCTTTGAGAGTAGTGAATATTGGTCCTTTTCTGTAGATATTGAATGTAGAGATTGGGATTTACATCAGCAGATTTAAGTCTGTGGCAGAGTTGAGATTGCCACACACCTAAGTCTCCTGATTTTGTACTCTAATCACACTCGCTCCTATGAAAGAGTGTTTTAGCTGCTTGAGCATTGTGATACAGTACTGAGTAAAGACTGAGAAATCATAAATTCTAAATATTATTTAGGAACTGGACTTTGGCCTTAAAGCAGAGAGATATACAGGTTAGTGCCTAAGTACAGTGTCAGAGTACAGAACGATTAGTACTTATATAATCTTTGATTCTCTTTCATCTCTGAAATGAAGAAAACAGTAGCTTTTTCATCTGAATGATGATTATAAAGAGTTTAGAGAATCAGCCAAAAAGTTTTGACAACACCCTTATCCTTTATTCCCTCTCTCATATCTCAGTAATGATCTGTTGATCCAAGAACAAGTAAAACAAGACTTTTAACATTGGCTTTTATTTGTTTACATAGTGTGGAATGTTATGGCCCATTATAAACTGAAGAACTTTTTTCCTTAGTAGGAAAGGACTGACCAGAGTAGGATTCATGACTTTATAATGCTCTTAGAGTTTTCAAAATCAAGATTAGCCTTTAAAAGTTTATTTTTAAGAGTTTCCTCTTCCCCTCCTCCCCACAAAATTTAGCATCAATGTAGCAGAGATAGGTTTTTGTCAAATTGTGCAAGGAGGCATTTTACCTTATATGCAAGAATATCTTGACAAGTATGACATATTATATTAGTGCAAGGTATTGAATGAACTCCGTGGAAAGTGCTGCAGAAGCATTGAATGTCTGAAAATCTGGTTCTCTTTTCCTATTATTAACATACCACCTGACCTTGAATAGAGGACGTGACTACCTCACATCTTGACAGCTACACAGCCTATTGTTGTATTTTTTTCTTTGTCCAGATTTCTTTGCTTTTCTCTTTTTTTCTTTTTTTTTGTTTTTTTGTCTTCTATTTATGGTTTAAAGAAATACAAAATGTGATTTGAGAGAGAAATGTTTACTTAAAGGTTGTGCTAATTTGGTAACAGCTCTCTGCTGTGAAAATCTTTGGGGGAAAAACTGACTTGCAGAGATTTCATAATTGGTTAGGTTTTATTGAATGCCAAAGTACTGAATCATGCTTTTAAGGAGGGATCTTCGAATAGGTAACTTTGAATCCCATTCTATTTTCTGTTTGTAAATTCATCTCCCTCTTGGTATTATTTAATTTTGAATTTTTTACTGTCTGGCTTATGAAGCTAGGACAAGTTATTAATATTTTTAAGAATATAGACAATATGATTGTGGTGGTGATGCATATTACAGGTTCAGTGAACCAGAAGGTACTGTTGTATAAACAGTTATTTTGTTTTGGTAAATAAAACAGTGACTTTAACAAATTTATTTTTCCCCCCCTAGATTTACCAACAGCATGAATCAAGAAAAGTTAGCCAAACTTCAGGCTCAGGTCCGGATAGGGGGCAAGGTGAGTGTGGCGTAAGAAAAACTGATAGGAGAATGTATTATTACCAGATAGTGTCATTATTTTGGATTTGTGGTCATTGAAAATCTAAAATCTTTTAAACAATCAAGATTAAACCACATTCCAATTTGAAAATAATTTGTCTAGATCTAAAATAGGTAATTAGAAGATCTCTCTCTCTGATGGTGCAATTGAAATAGCCACCTTTGAGTCTTCTTAACATCTGGTGGTTATATGAGATGAACAAGTTAACCAACCTTATTAAGCTTCCATTTTCGCACCTGCAAAACAAAAGTAATCCTATATAAGATGCTTCTAAAGATAGAGTAATATTTCTAAAACACCTAAAACGGTGTCTGGCACAGACTAAACACTTAATAAATGACAGCTATTATGTTAGACTCACCCTCAGGGCATCCCAGATATTAAGGTTATCTTGACTGGATGCCCCTACTGCTTCAGTTAGGTGTACAATGGGGCATGCTTAAGTTGATGGTACATTGTTCATTGCTAGGTTTTCCTCCCAAATTCCTACCTATTTGTCTATGTTGGTGAATATGAACATAAGCATTCTTTTCCCATGTACTTTGAAGCCTCAGGATGATGTAGTTCTGAACACTGAAAATCTTTGATTCCCTTCAGCTCCAGCCTCAGGCTCAAGGAGAATATTCTGCCTTTATCTCTGCCCAATACAATCTTTGTAAAAGGAAAAGCATGAATAGTATTTACCTCAGACCTAGGGAGGGGGAAGGTAGGACACTATGTAGCAGCCCCACTGTGTCATTTACTTTGATGATAACCACAGTTTCTGGGGATGGGGACAGGAGAGGGGGAAGGGGAGAAGCAACTAGTACTTTCTCCTTCTTTCATAGTGATACAGTTATATGACTCTGGAGTCATATTAACACATTCCTATAACCAAAATACTACTAGTCACATTGTAGCAGCAAGTGTAATGTAATGTACCAATGCAAAAACTAGGAATATTCAGGAACCATAGAATATACCTGTAAGAACTTGATGCAGCACATCACTATTATATATTTTAAACCAGATAGTTAGCACATTCATTCAGCTGGTTTATTGAGAATGTACTGTGGGCCAAGCACACAGTACATAAATAAGTCAAGGTTTCCTGCTCTTGACACAGTTCAGCTTGGAAGAGAGACATACAATTCCACTACAGAATAGTAAATGTTAAAATGAAGTACAAGGTGCTCCTGCCTAGGAGAGATAAGGACATCATCACTGAGCTGAGATTTGAAGAATAAACAAGAACAGGTGCAAGGATAAGTGGGTAGGGTGGAGGGGGGGATTGTCGTTCTCACGCATGCAAAGGCCCATAGGATGCTGAGATAACATGGTGCTTAATGGAACAGCTTGCTTTAGTTTGTTATAGCTAGAGTTTAGAGTAAATAATAGATAAGTATGGTAGCAAATGAAACAACCAGGTAATTTAGGGTTAGATCATAGTTTTGTATGCCATACTAGGGAGATTCAGATTTTATCCTATAGGCAAGAGCAACAGTAAACTACTGTAGAATTTTAAGAAGGAAATAACAGTCATTTTAAAAGGTAGCTGCCAGCATTGTGGAAAATGAAATAAAACAAGTTTGGCATAGAGAACAATCGAGAAGCTACTGCTGTAGTATGTGGGACACAAATTCAGGGACTGGATATGACACAATTTAATGACCAATAGAATATGGGGGATGAACGGGTGAGAGGATTCTGGGATGACGTCCAAATTTCTGGTTTTAGAGCTACAAAACTTAGGAAATATAAGAAGAGTAGTTTGGTGGACTGATAAGCTTTTAGGCATGTTGACTTTGAGGTGCGTGAGGATCATTTGAGTTGTATCCAGCAAGCAATTGAGCTATCCCTGAGTCAGGAACACATCATAAATAAATGGCCATCTATGTAAAGAGTCACTCTTAGTTCATCCTTTAACTGGATTTCATTACAACCTCTGCTGCTACCCACAGGACTCTCTTCTACTCCCACCAGAGTTGCTGAGACTGAGGCTCCTGCCTACTCTCTATAAGCCTGATTGCCTGAGTAATACTGCAGGAGCTACCCAGAGATTGAAACCTCCTTTCCTTTTTCTTTACTCCTGCCAGGTCTCAGAAAGATTTAGGCCTCAAGATATAGACTGCTCTTGGCAGTGTTTCAGCCCTGCTTTAGGTTACATTTTTTTAAATTGGCTCAGGAATTTAATTCATTGTTTTAAATAGTTTTTCAGTGGAAAAAATGTATTTAGAGTTTCAAAGTATCCATTTAGAAATGAACTTTTCCTATCTCAGTAAATAGTATAATTTTCAACCTATTTGCTCAGGTCAAAATTCTAAACATCATTCTAGATTCCTTTTTTCCCTCATATCCCATACCCAGTCCATCAGCAAGTCCTGTTGGTTCTTCTGACAGTCTGAGCTGTCACCACCTCCACTGCCACAACCCTCATTTCTCATCAGGACTGCTACAGTAGCTTCCTGATTGATTTCATTATAGTTCATTTTCCACAGCAACCTCAGTCATCTTTTAAAATTATAAATCAGATCCAGTCATTTTCATGCTTAAAACCTTCCAATGGCTTCCCATTGCAATTGGAATAAAGTCCAACTCCTGCCCATGGGATTCTAGGCCACATGATCTGGCCCTTACCGATCTTTCTGATTTCATTTTCCTCCTCCTTTCCCATTGTTTACTCTGCTTTAGCCATACTGGCCTACTTTCTCTAGAAATAAAAGGTTCACTCTTGTTTCATTCTGCTTGGATCACTCTTCCCCTAGGTCTTCCCATGGATCTCAGCTCATATGTCACCTCTTCAGAGGGGCCTTCCCTGAACATTGTAATAAAGTAGTGCTTTACCCCCATCTGATATTCTTGTCACTATGTTATTTTTTTTCTTAATACCCTTGTCCTGTTTGAAATGATGTAATTTGTTTATATGTTTATTGACTTTTCCTTCACACTGTAATGTGTGCTCCTTGAAGTAAGAACTTGATCTTTTTCATTCCTGGGTTCTAGGACTCTAGAACACTCACATAATAGGCATTTGACTTTTTTTTTTTTTTTTTTTGCGGTACGCAGGCCTCTCACTGTTGTGGCCTCTCCCGTTGCGGAGCACAGGCTCCGGACACGCAGGCTCAGCGGCCATGGCTCACGGGCCTAGCTGCTCTGCGGCATGTGGGATCTTCCCGGACCGGGGCACGAACCCATGTCCCCTGCATCGGCAGGCGGACTCTCAACCACTGTGCCACCAGGGAAGCCCTTTGACTCTTAATTATGTCATAATCTCCAAAGTTTCGGAATATCTTTAGACTTTATTGTCAGGGGGTGGTAGGCGCTGTTAAAAAAAGCATTCCTTATAATGTTTGAAAGTTGATATAAAGCACACTAAATTATCTTGAAATTATAAATTATTTTTTATTAGAAACAATTTTTTTATTAGAAACATATTTTCTTGAAACAATGTTAAAATGATAAAGGCTGGATATTGGAAAAAGTAAGAACAATTGGCTAGAAACTGACCTTCAAAAATCTGGGTTAGGCTGACAGTCTTATTAATCATCTAATCATTCATTAGACTTCATTATGTCATTACTGTGTGTGGCACCACCTCACTATTGAGTCGAAGTTGGCAGTTTCTTGAGTGAATATTATGAATATTATGTTAGAATATTAGTTAGAATATTATGTAAAGGAAGACCAGTGATTGCAGTTGTCAAATGCATGGCACGCTAACACTTCTGTTTGGTTATCTTTCAGGGTACAGCGCGCAGAAAGAAGAAGGTGGTACATAGAACAGCTACAGCTGATGACAAAAAACTTCAGAGTTCTCTAAAAAAACTGGCTGTGAATAATATAGCTGGTATTGAAGAGGTATGGTCACTTAGTAAATTGTTATGTGGACAAGTAGCACATTCACAGATAATTAACCACACTTTCAAATGTAAAATATCAGCTTAGATGAATCCGGTATTGTCTTTCTGAAGGACTATAGCTATTGAATTTGCTTATTGTATAAATTGGATGATTGTCAAAAAAAATGATTTTAGTAAACAGTTAAGGGATTCATTATACTTTTCAGACTCAAAGTATTTGCATATATGTCAAAATTATGGAACCGCTCTTGAATTTTAATGTAGAATAAGATTTTTTTCTAATGATAACAGAAATAAAGAAACCCAAAGATTTCTTCCAGTAGGATGAACTTTTTTCCCATACAGTCTCTCAAAGCGTTACCTCAGCCAAGCTCTAGCAGTAGCTTTACATGAATTGGATTTCTTATTAGACCTCTTTCAAAAATTATTCATTAAATTTTTAAATTATTTTATTATATTTTGATAATACTACTTTTCTCAAATCTGAAACCAAAGATTGATGTTATTTCAAAAGGTACTTAAGAAAAATTATAACAACATCAACTGTTTGTGATTTGTTACCATCTAGACCTACTTCTACCTAATGATTCCGTTTCTGATAGTAACCAATATTAAAATTTTCACTGCCATCAGTTAGATTTCATTATGTCATTACTTCGTGAGGCACCACCTCACAATTTTTAGTAGATTATTAATGGACATGTGCTGTGAAACATAGATCAGAAACAATGTGGTGATGGGGATTACTATTAAAGAAATAGCAGAGTACCAAAAAAAAGGCAGTGAAATGGCAAAGTGCTACATATTCCTTCAACCATGCATATGTGAATGAATGAACACATCGTTTAAATATGCTTTGTACTTTCAAAGTCAATATACTGATAAAACAGTAGGAAATGTGAGCCACATGTATCTTTTTTCCATTCAGCTTGATGTGGCTGTGCATTCTTACTCTGATAAATATTAGAACTTCATTTGCAAGTCTTGAAATTAAGCATTTAAAATGCTTTTTTTTTTCTGAGCTATTGAAAGCTTTTATATATTTTCATTGACCTAAAATAATTTTCAGAGAGATCATTCTCTATCTGGGGTATATTTGAGAAAAAGCAAATTTAAGCCTCTCTTTAAAAATCACAGCTTGACAGCTGCATAGCCCAGGGAGATCAGCTGGGTGCTTTGTGACCACCTAGAGGGGTGGGATAGGGAGGGAGGGAGACTCAAGAAGGAGGGGATATGGGGATATATGTATAGTATAGCTGATTTGCTTTGTTATACAGCAGAAACTAACACAACGTTGTAAAGCAATTATACTCCAATAAAGATGTTTAAAAAAAAATCACAGCTTGATTAAAAAAAAAGAATAAGTTGTAATAATGGACATGAACTCTGATAATGTTAAGCCTAACCTACTTATAAGTGTTAAGGCAATCTTATATCTTTGCCTACCTTTCTACTCTCTGACTCCATGCCCACCCCTCCCCACCTCAACACTGTTGACATTTTGAACCAGATAATTCTTTACTGTGGGAACTGTCCTGTACATTGTAGGATGTTTGGCAGCATGCCTGGACTCTACCCACTAGATCCCCAGTTACAACAACCAAAAATGTCTCCAGACGTTATTGCATGTTCTCTGGGGGGCAAATCACCCTTGGTTGAAAACACTTCTTTAGAGGAAAAGATTGTATTTACACCTCCTTGAAGTATAGATTTTAACTGCATAATATTTCCAGGGGCATGCTTGTCTAAATGTTTGGTTTGTTCAAATTTGGAAGACTTTATGGTTCTTATAATTAATAAAACTTTTAGTGTTTTATAGTGAAATAAAAAGCCAGTCAGTTATCAGTCTTTGATCTCTTCAGAATATAATCAAACTAGTTGTAATGGTGTGCTGAGGTCATGGTTTATTTGTCGTCGAAATTATAATAAATTTTTAATGGTAGTGAACATCTGCTGTATGCCAAGCATTTTGCTAGGCAGTGATTCATAAGATATTATTCATAGTCTCTGTCGTTTAGAGCTTAAAATCTAGTGTGGAAACTAATTAGACAGCTAGACAGATAAACAAATATATATTATCCATTTCAGCTTCACAGTGTCTCATGGTTGGTTGTTACTGGTTACAGATAAGAAAGCTGAGACTTAGAGAGTCAGGTATCTGCCCAAGATCACATAGCTAGTAAGTGCTGAATTCCAGATTTGAACTAAGTATGTCAAAACCAGAGCTCATTTTATTCATTGATTTATCTTGCTTTGGTCTTTTTAGTTATACTTTCTTATACTCACTATTGGCCTTTTCCTCTCCTCCTGCCCCTCCTTCCTCTCTGTTCTTCCAAACTCCCCCCAAAGAAAGGGACAATACCTGCCTTATATCCTGTATTATCGAGCACCTGCCATGTTCAGTTCATTACTTAACATTACAGATAAAAGAAATCCCCATCAGAATTTCCAAGGACATTGCTTTTTCTACTTTTTCAGGTATTAATGTAGGTGTTATTTCCTCCCAGAAGCCTTCCTGGTAGCACACATACACATTTATGCAAAGAAGGGTTAGACGCCTTTCCTGTGTGCCTCCATAATGCCCTGTATTTAATTTTATTATAGCATGTATTAAACTATATTATTAATTCTTTTTTGTTGATATTGCCAGTGCAGTTTTGTTTGGAGACACATATCTCCAAAACGTCACACAGAAAATTAATGGTACATAATAGGCATGTACATGCTCTTGTTGCACTCCCACCCCCGTGTGTGTGTGTGTGTGTGTGTGTGTGTGTGTGTGTGATGTCTTCCAACCCTCACAGACTAGTTGTACAGAGAAAATATGCATAAAGAAAATTAACACTGTAAGATAACAGCTGTAACATTCTGAATGTTTGAAACTAAAATGGGAAGGTTTGCTTTCTTCCTTTCCCTCTTTCTAAAATTGATTTTTTGAGAACCAAGATATTTGGTACTTTATATAACACTCTGCAGATCTAAAATAATTTTGTTTAGGCATATCTAGTGTACTGTATAATCTGGCTTGCCTCAAACATTATGTTTTGTGTTACTATAATTAAAGCAGAATTTTTTTCATTTTTTTTTAAGAAAATTATGACACACGCTTGGTTTAAAACAGCTTCTAGGAGGAAAAAAGAAACTACTACATTAAATGTATACATGAAAACGTGTGCAGTTTTCAGAAACATTAAGATATGAAAAAATATATACATCTTAGAATAGAAGAAACGATTATTTTACAATTTCGTTATTTTTAACTTGGGATGTTTTCAGCTTTTTTCAAAGTGCTGAACTCTGGAAGATACTATCTTTTTGGGTTTTGGCAGTTTAAGGAAAGCAGATAAAAACATTTGAAAAGAGAAGATACCATTACCATTGTTGTAAAGCAAAAATAATATTACTATGTTTTCTGTACTTTGACCTTCAAAACATCAAACCAATAGAAAGTACTTGGTTTGGTGGGTTGGAACAGAGAGATCGAGTTGGGTTTCAAAAACTTATTGAATGCACTTTTGCTAAGTAAAATTTTATTTTATTTTATTTCATTTCATTTTTTTGCGGTACGCGGGCCTCTCACTGTTGTGGCCTCTCCCGTTGCGGAGCACAGGCTCCGGACGCGCAGGCTTAGCGGCCATGGCTCACGGGCCCAACCGCTCCGCGGCATGTGGGATCTTCCCGGACCGGGGCACGAACCCGCGTCCCCCGCATCAGCAGGCAGACTCTCAACCACTGCGCCACCAGGGAAGCCCTGCCAAGTAAAATTTTAATCTTAGTTTCTAGGCTGTCAGTACCAGTAATTTTTTTCCCCTTCTAAAGCTTAATTTATGTCCTCTTCAAATACTTAAAAACTAAAGGACTGTTTGAATTAAGAGAGGCTTCTCTGGACTTTTATGTGTTTCCTAGTTTGTTAATTTGGGGTAATAAATTCAATCATATGTAGATTTCTTTTACCTGTTACCAAAGACAGAAATCCAAAGCTGTCAAAAAGGGGCAGGGGAGGGCTTCCCTGGTGGCGCAGTGGTTGGGGGTCCGCCTGCCGATGCAGGGGACGCGGGTTCTGCCCTGGGTCCGGGAGGATCCCACATGACGCGGAGCGGCTGGGCCCGTGAGCCGTGGCCGCTGAGCCTGTGCATCCGGAGCCTGTGCTCCGCAGCGGGAGAGGCCACAGCAGTGAGAGGCCCGCGTACCGCAAAAAAAAAAAAAAAAAGGGCGGGGGGCAGGGGAGTGTCAGAGACTGTTTCATACAAAAAAGCCAAGTAAATACCGGGTTTTAGGAAGAAATTCGTATGTGAACTCTGAGAGTATAATCCAGAACTAAATTTCTGAAAATGTTTTATGTTCTCTGACATTTGAAGATATTTGGATGTGCTTCTTACTTGGTAATCTAGTTGACTGTAGTGACCGTGTTGTCACTTTTCTTCTCCTGATGATAACATGCATCTATCAAAAGTAGGATCTGGGGCTTCCCTGGTGGCGCAGTGGTTGAGAGTCCGCCTGCCGATGCAGGGAACACGGGTTCGTGCCCCGGTCCGGGAAGATCCCACATGCCGCGGAGCGGCTGGGCCCATGAGCCATGGCTGCTGAGCCTGTGCATCCGGAGCCTGTGCTCCACAACGGGAGAGGCCACAACAGTGAGAGGCCTGCGTACCGCAAAAAAAAAAAAAAAAAGTAGAATCTGTTTCATTTCCCAGAGATAATTGATTTCATCAGATGTATTTAATAAGAAATGTCACCAAAAATCTGCTTCTCTGGTTCAGATGGTCTAGTTGTTTCACAGAGTTTTACTATTATATTCAGAGGACAGCTTCTATCTTAACTAAGGTATGATTCTGTCTCCATGAAACCTTCCCTATCTTTCCAGGCATAATTCATCAACACTTTATCTGTACTTCCACTGCCCTTAGCTTAAATTGCTCTGCTATAATGTGTTTATTATTACAGCCTCATATTGTAGGGTATGATTACTTATTAACCAAGTAGTCTGTTTGCAGTAGA